GTTATTCTAATACATTTATATTTGGACCATACAACATTTGAAGAACTTTTACTTTTCCAATTAGAAAACAACACCCAATAAAAGTGTTGTTATATAATCATAGTGTTATTGCTAGTGTCACCTGTTGGCAAGTAAGGCAATGTTTTACTATACTATCCTATTCTTTTTACATTTTCATACGATGTTGTTTAAAAATCATTAATCATATTTCGGTCAGTTCACTTTATATCTGTGTGAGTGTAAATAACCTGTAATATGTGGTCTAGTCTCTATGATCTTAACTTCACCTACAATATTATCAATTCACTGTTTTCTAAATTTTGGCATTAAACGTGCATGGTTGGTAGTGTTATTCTTCTGGAAAATTTATTTGAATATATCGTGTATATATGTATGTAGCACTTTCCTTACACATATTAAAATTGCATACAACAGTCATTGACGACGAAACATAACATGTAAATAGCTGATGAGTTCGCATATCGATATCCAAAATCCATTTTTCTAGAAAAATCGCAATATCTTGGAAACGAAGGCCATTACGACGTTCGTACGTTTTAAGCATTTTATGGTATAATATCAACTTTTTTCAAAGCGTAAAATAGCAAATCATTCAGGGCACATTTTAAGGTAACAGGGCAATCGGTCCAATGAGACGTGAGTACCGAACTGGACATATATCTAAGCAATGAACAGGTGGGCATGCATAACAACAAACTCAACTTTTACATGAATATAAGGCATGATTCTAAGCACCAAGTGAATGGAATATTTGTAATTTATGCTACCCTTTCGTCACGGGAGTAGCGTACGTAAGAGATATAGCAGTAGAAAATGTATATAACCAATTCAAGCTGTATGAAAGTACTCACCACAAAGTCACCCGTCAAACAGAAATGCACTATCCTAACTGTATTCTTAAGGTATAGCTGTTTGTTATTACGTTTCCGGCGGCAAACTTTGACTAACTCTCACGTCAATAATGTACCCTTTAATAATTTCTGTGCATTCTTTAAAGACTTTTGATTGGTTAGCAAATATTTCCCAAGCCACGCCCTTTCTATAGACGGACACAGACGTTAAACCACAGTATGTCAATCTGGCGACTCCTCACCTGTGTCTAAATATAGTTAAAACGTTTCATGTTTCTCTGTCTATAATCATGATACAGTATTATCTATTGGAGCAGTGGCGGATCCAGAGGGATTTTTTTGGCTTCAGGACCCCCCCC